CAGCCAGTGTTGCTGAAAAGCTCTCCCTGACTCCTGTACATTATAGCTATATTAGGTGCGCTAGCTAACTTCTGTTTGCTGACAAGGCACAAAAATATTCTATGTGACTAGAAAGATGACAAAACTATTCAGGTGTTTTTTGGGAGAACCTTAACTTCCTAACAAGAGGTTACAGGAAATTCTAGAATATCACTTATTTTGAAAGAATCGCTTTATTTAGCTAATAGTGGCAACTTCCAGCATTTTAATACTTCCAGACTGGTAGCTGTGTTATTCTGTTCCAATAACAATAACAATAATAATAACAAAATAAAATAAAATAAAAAACAACAATTATTATAATTATTATTAATGGGGGCACATTTTGACTAGACCCCTAACTTTCAAGAATTGAGATCCTGAGGGCAGAATGCCTTTGACCACACACAGAGTCCCACCCTAGGGAACAGAGTAACACTTCAAACCCTGGTGCCACAAACTGCCAGAAGACAAGACCACTTGGTAAGTGGCATGGAAGAACAGATTATTATTAATTTCCCCCCCTCGCATTTTAATTTGAACAGTATTATTCTTAGTATCTTATATTAATTGTATTTTAACTTGCTGTAAGCTTCTGTAAAATTTTCAAATGAGACAATGATACAACTACTTTAGTGGAAAAAGGGAAATACATGGCATAATGACTGAAGCTTGGGGATCCCATCCCTCCTCTTATGCTGCGCAAGCATAGGAAGAGGAGAAGGGAACCAAGCCACTCCCCAGCCCCAAGGGTGGGATTCCCTTCAGGCATGCTTTAGTAAGCTGCCCTAAGGGAAAACCAATCTCTGAGGAACAGCTGATCTGCAGGGACATAAGCAGATAAGGAATGAAGGGACAAATATAAAAAGGTTATATTCGTTGCTTCGTATTCGTTGGGGTCTCTGGACTCCAAAAATACGAAGCAACTAACATCTAACGAATCAGGGATATTTAATGAATATCCTGATTCGTTTTGATATTCGTTCCCACATCTGGCAGATACCACAGTTGCCTATTAGTTTTAGTTCTGATCAATTTTCTTTATTATTTTCAGTATAAAACCTTCAAGACAGAGAGTGGTATCTTCACTCTGCCAGAAATCAGGCAGTCAGCGCCTTATAAATGCTTTGCCCATAGCAGAGTGTAAGATACAGTGGTGCCCCACATGACGATAATCCGTTTCATAGAAATCGTTTAGCGAAAACATTGTCTTGCGAAAACCATTTCCCCATTGGAATGCATTGAAACCTGTTTAATATGTTCCAATGGGGAAAATAGTTGTCATTTTGCGAAGATCGTCCATAGGGAAGCCATTTTGTGAAGCACTGATTAGCTGTTAAAATGGCTGCCCTGCGAAGCATCGGTCTCGAAAACACCCGTTTTGCGAAGCACCGATCAGTGTTAAAATCGTCGTCTTGTGAAAATCGGTTTGCGAACCAGGGACCCAAACATCGTCTAGCAAAAATCACCCATAGGAATAATTGTTTTGCAAATCGCTATAGCGATCGCAAAACCTCGTCATGCGGATGTGTTGTTTTGTGAGGTCGTCGTCTAGCGAAGTACCACTGTACAAAGCTTCATTTCCCAGAGGCCATGATTATTAAACATACTTCAGCTAGCAATGAATGGCATCTTCAGCCTCAAAAGTTACAAAGACCTGTATTATTCCAGGAAATTTTCCTAATAAAACACAACAAAATATTTATCAAGAGAATACGCCCAAGATTTTCAGAATTATGTTCTGAGCCATCAAAGCTGGTTTACTTTTGATATTTCAGAGAAAATGTCTTAAATCGATTTGCTGGCAGATGGATTCCTTGTCAGGATTTCATATGCCCAGGGTTCTTTGTATTCAGTTTTAAACTTTTAAGAACCTGTTTAAGCATACCCTGTTTCTCTGAAAATAAGACCTAACCTGAAAATAAACCATAGTATGATTTTTCAGGATGCTTGTAATATAAGCCCTACCCCCAAAATAAGCTGTAGTTAAGTGAAAGCCCACCCTCCACCATTGTGTAGCAACCAGAAGAAGATGACATGACTGTATTTGAATAAACGTAGGTTGTACTTTAAAAAAATTAAGCATCCCCTGAAAATAAGCCCTAATATGTTTGGTTTTTTTGAGCAAAAATTAATATAAGACCGTGTCTTATTTTCGGGGAAACAGGGTAATCATACCCTGAAGACTGTAAGGATAATTTTTTATTTTTAATGACAATACCCGAGACTTCAGGAATCCAAGACAGAACAAATACATGTATAGAAGTGCTTTGGAATCTGTATACAATTTGAAAACCTATGTGTTAACCGCTTATATCATAGCTAGTAAGAGAGGTAATGAGTATTCTTGCACTCTCCTGAAATCTCAGTGGAATTTCCGGTACCTTCCAGTGATATGTACTTCTTTATTATAAAAATAACGATGTCTCAGTTCTCATTAGTTCAGAGGAAGTGACACATTAAATAAATCCTGTTCAACTGACCATAATTCTATTCCAGTCACTTGGGTCAACAGCACAGCTCTTCCCAATGTTCAAGAATTTCACTTGATGGAAAACTTCGCACAGAAAGCCGAAACAAGATCTCTGTAAGGAGTGTCTGAATGGGACTTGGTCTGAGGTATGGCACAGAGTCTACGGAAAGCAGGAGAGCGCAGCAGAAGATTGTGTGAGAGGCCCATGAAGCTTGAGGACAACCAGTACAAGGCTATGCACTATAATAAAAAAAGAAGGGAGATATTAGTTCCAAAAGTCTAATGTATTATGGTCCCCCAAGTAAACACATGTTGCTCGTTTTTTTTAAAAAATTAGGAAACAGTCACAAATTAAAAAAATATAACATTTTCACAAGGCCAGGGTGGCAAATAAGGCTCCATCACTCCATATTTTATCTTTATTAACAACACCATGAGCAAAATTCGGCCAATAGATAACCAATTGAACCAACATCACCCCATGGTGGTCAAGTTGGGATTTGAATTCAGGCTTATCTGTAAAACTCTAATCCCTACACAAAATGTATGAAAACATCTTTACAGTGGTATCTTTTAGAAATGATGTTTCATAGAACTTGCCTTGGGATTAACGACATAATATATGACACACAATTTCTTCTTTGTGAATAGTGTAGTGCAGTGGTCCCCAACCTTTTTAACCCAGTGGACTGGTTGAGGAAGGCAGGGCACCTCCCGTGCTCATGCGTATGCACGAAGGAGTGGGGGATGGAGTGCGGGCGGGGGTGTGGGGGGATGGTCTGTCTCCATGGCCTGGTCTGTCTCAGACCACCGACTGGCACCAGGCTGCGGACTGGGGGTTGAGGACCTCTGGTGCAGTGTAGCAAATAAGGCTGTAGACAGAGAAGACCTAGCTTCAACTCTTGCTAAATCTTGATGAGTATCGAGTGGGCCTTAGGACCAGTGACAAAAACTTTATTGTGTCACTGAAGTCTTAGAAAAAAAGGTGGGCTATAAAAATATTCTAAGTATAATTAATTAATTAAATAAATAAACAATAGTAATACTGTCAACAAGTTTTTGCAAATAAAGTGCTAGAACATTCTCATGGCATTCTAATGTAATTTCTAGAGCAAAGTGACCCAATCATGAAAGTATTTTGAACTAATGTATATTATACACTTTCTCACACACAGCTTGGAACAATGAACCCAGCAGAGGAAGTTGCTATATGCAAGGTCAGACTACTTGCCCATCTAGCCCATAGTGGTTTGACCTCATCAGCACATCGTCTCCGGTGTCTCAAGCAGGTGTCTTTTCCCTTATCTGCCATCTGACCCTTTTAAACTGGAGATGCCTGGGACTAGGCACAGAACCTTCTGCATAGAAAGCACATGCACTGTCACGGGGTACTGCACAGAAAGCACGTGTGCCCATCCAAAAGAACAGCACGTGATCTCTTCAACACCTGTAAATACTGCTGGGCAACATTTCCATACTGGAAAATGAAGGACTTCTTTGTGATGCATTTCCAAAAGCCTGTATCATTAACACTGCTCTGAGTTACTTACCGAAGGTGCGGTTGCAGCAATTGGGATCATTAACACAGACACGGCTCGGCAGAAGTGAGTGATATACTTCTGCAATTTGGATACTTCTGTTTTGCGCAAAGCAAATAACTGGGGAAAGAAATACCAATTATAAGGAAAATAGAGAAAATTGATCATATGATGTTACGTTAATAAAACAGATGCTTTGTCTCTGAGCTGACTATTGATGTTACTGTTGGAATATACCTGGAGCCAAAAGTCACTGTGCATGACAGTAGAAATCAGGGCACCTAGGCAAAGAAATGCAATAGACATAAATATGGCATCTCTTCCCCTCTTTCTCTCTCTGATATGTAATCAGCAAGGACACAAGACCCTAACATTAGAATAACCAAATACGTGTTTTATTACAAAAACAGAGAAGTTACTTCACACAAATACAAAGGTAAGAACTGCAAGTATTTTGATGATATCACAGAAAATAAATGAAGGAGGAGGAACCCTGGTGCCAATAAGAAAAGGGAAGAGTTAAAAATATCAGACAGGGAGAAATCCTAAGCATGATCAAGATGGGAGTCATGATATAAACAACAGGGAGCAAAGCAATACAGCTGATGCACCTAATGCAGTTAAAATAACAAGAAAATAAGAGCACAAATGCTAAACAGAGAAGAGAAAATGTGTCCAGTTCTAAGGTGGGGGCAAACTGTGCTACAAGGATTATCACAGGTTCTGCAATCATGTTATGGGGAAGTGGGGACCAGCAAACCCCAGCACAAATTCTTAGTCTTGGGTATTATTGGGGGGTGGGGGAGTTGCATGTGAAAAACCTGAAGAAATAAAAAGCTATGTGTTCCCTCAAAGCCCTGATGAAGCCAATAACAAAACAACACATATTGGTATAGGGGAGAAAACTGGGGGAGAGAGACAGGAAGGTGGGTGGGGTTCACCTGCAACATTTTCTAGAAATGAACAGAACAAGCTCTGTAAACAGAATTAAAAATAGGAATTTTGGTTCACTACAAACTACAAATATAATTAACGCAGGGAATAATTTTCTTAGAAAATAAGGAGGAGCATGTTTAGGGTGCAAATTCTCTCACTATATACTGTACAGTTATGTGTAAAAAGTGTGAAGTGCAAAAAGGGTTTCACATACACTATTTGAGCAGAGACTCCTAATGTTAATATATGCTGATGTGGAGTAATACATTTACTGGTAGTATTTCCCACATGGAGTATTATCTCTGGGTAGATCCATCCCATGAGTGCACTCTGATGCCTGAATGTGTTAAGGAACAGGCAGGGAAGAAGACATCTGCATATCACGGTCTAAAATGGATTAAAAAGAAAAAGCGGGCCCAATTTTTCTCCTGTACTTCTATGCTTAGCTCCACGTGGCTGATTAGGTACTGCTTTGCTAGGCAGTGTTTTAACATCTATGGCCGATTAGGTACTGTGGCTGATTAGTACTACCAATGAACTGCTTTGCTAGGCAGTGTTTTAACATCTTGAGATGATATTTCACAAGAGATGGTCTTGCTGCCAACCAAGATAAAGATATGGCACACTTGGTCCTCCTTCTAAGAACTCAGGAACCCACTGATCCAGTGGTTCCCAACCTTCGGTCCCAAGATGTTCTTAGACTATAACTTCCAGAAATCCTGCCCAGCCCAGCCAGTGGTGAAGGCTTCTGGGAGTTTTACTCCAAGAACATTTGGGGACCCAAGGTTGGGAACTACTGCACTAATATATCCCATTCTTTGCAACATTCTGTCAGGAATGATCTGAAGCAAATCCAAGCCCCCAAGCAGAAACTAAACTACAAAAAGGACTTACAAAAAGTCATATTGGCATTTGCAGCACTTTACCACAATGTCTCAAGAATAGGAAAGGAGATATGCAAACATTAGCTTTCCCTTGCATCTACTGAGAAACTATCTTACAAAATACGTCAATTATGAGGCATCTAAAGCAACAGGGCTTTGGGGTTTCATAATAATTCCGGTGCCATCATTTAGTACCTCTATTATGAACAGATTGAGGAGTCCAAGGGTAACTGGCATAATCCAAGTTGAGTCAGGTACAGTGAGGTCTGTAAACCAAAGCACACCTCCTGTAGAAAGCTGCTCCTGAATGAAATCCCCTGCAGAAACACAACAGGCATTTTTGTTGTTATTTGCAGTGAGCCTGGTCATTGTTCAGTTCAGCAAGGGCTGAGCAAACATGCCTAACCCAGGGTGTGAAGAATTGTGGGAAGATAGAAAAATTAGCCATTTCTGAACCTTGGCCTCTCCCCAGTAGTTTGGATTTGTAGCCAATGGGGCTAAATTCATTACTGCACCTAGAAAATCATGTTACATCAGTGGCTAAGAACTCCCATGGATTTTTTAAAAACCGCTTTTTCAAGGTACATTATGTTAACAAATGTTCTTCTACTGTAGTTTAAACCAGTACTGTCCTAAAGGTGTCAACAACTTTGGCCAACACCGAATTTACCAACCAATATCTCAACATGTTTGGCTGTTGGAATGACAGAAAGTCCTTCTGCAGTCTTCTGTGAACAGCCCTGACAGACTTTCCTGCATCACAAACATTAAGACTAATCAATTTATATCTACTCATAAGACTAATCAAGTTATATCTACTCATTTATATTCACACCACAAATCTTCACAAAAATTACGTGTTCCTAAGCAAGCCATCAGACAAGGCCGGCCAAGCATTTTCATCTGTGGACACTGAATTTAACACACAAATATTCTGATATGGTGAACTCAACTGAGGACCAAGGAAAAACCACAGATTCACCATTCTCCTTTTCACATTAATGACCAAGAGAAGAATGTAATTATGGACATGAAACTCCATATTCACACTGACATCAAGTATGTCAATTGGGGGGGGGGATGTTGTAGTTGATGGAACTATTTTTAGTGTCATACAACGCGTATTACTCCAATCTATACAGTTTACATCTTTGGTTTCTTACAATTTATATTACAAGCTCAACATAATCCTACTGTTAGCACAGAGTTTCAAGAAACAGGCACTAGGTCCCCGGGCAGCTTCAGTCAACTCAATTACACAGTACAAGATAATGAAGTCATTATGCTTGAATAGGAGTAGGTTGACTCTGGAGAGAACTTTTATGAACAGCTTTTTCAACACCACTGCCTGACTACAACGAGAAGCAACAACTGTTTAGCCTTCCCTAGTGCTCCCATGTGAACAATAATGTTCTGATTCAAATCTCTAATGTTCCCCATCCCAAGTCTTGGTTTTAAAAAGCTACATGGTTTTAAAAAGCTATAACACCAATGCAATTATTAAATTTGCACTTCTTGATCATAAGTATTCTATGATTCAGTTTAAAAGCATTACCTTCAGAAGCCGTCCTGCCAATGCTCAAATTACGCAAAGCAACTGAAACAAAGACCCACATTGGCATCTGTACCAATACAAGTAGGCTGGCCTTGACAGGATGACAATTATCTCGGATGTACAAGTTTGAAACAATCCTTCTCATGTTCCTCTTGAATTGGAACCTAATTGAAAAGAAAGGTAAAAAGAACTAACATGCACATCTGCATATATTTATGCAGTTGGAAGTTCTATTATTTTCATGGAGCTTATCCCCAAAGGTATATAGAACTCTAGCCCTGAAAAAGCTTTTTAATACAAGTGGTAAGCACCATAGATATTAGCCATGCTTGGGACTCAAATGTGTATCTCACTTTGTTTTAGTTGAACAACAAACTGGACACGACATTCAGTTTAGATCAGAAAGTAGTTAGCAACACAATTTTTCATTTATTGTGCCCACTAAGGACATTACAGTGGTGCCTCGCTTAGTGATGTTAATCTGTGCAGCAAAAATCGCTGCTAAGCGATTTCGTCGCTAAGCAATTTTAAAAAGTCCATAGAAACACAAAAACCTGTTTAATGCGTTCCTATGGGCTAAAAACTGACCTTAAAGCGAAGATCCTCCATACGGCGGCCATTTTCGCTGCCTCTAAAGCTAGGAATCCACACTAAAACACAGTGGGCGGCCATTTTGGAACCGCCAACCAGCTGTGAAAAAATCATTGCTTTGCAATGATCGATAAGCGAAACAGGGAACCCGATCATTGCAAAGCAAAAAACCCCATAGGAGACATCGCAAAGTGATTGCTTTTGCAATCGCAAAAACTTCATTGCTATGCAGTTTCGTCACTAAACGGAGCGCCCATTAAGCGAGGCACCACTGTACAGGGATTATTATAAAGGCACGAACATAGTATGCATAAAGATCAGGCAGACAGTACAGAAAAGGTGGGTCCTGAAAGTGAGTCTGTAATCTATGTGCAGCATGGAAACCAACAGTGATAGTCTAATCTGGGACACAAAACCCAGTGCAATTCGAAGCTGCAGGGGGAAGGCGGAAATGCTACAGAATAGCCCTTTGCATGCAATGCCACAGTATATTAGCTAAAATCCTGTTGGTACAAGTTATGCCACAGAACTCTGATGTCAGCAGCAGCAGTTGTGCTGTACCTGTTTTCCGGCTTTAAATCATGCCTTATATCATTCTCTGCTCCCAAAAGTTTCCCAGGGTAAAGAGGATTGCTGGGGATCCCTCAAACCTGGAGTGGGACATTTTTAATTCTGCTGACACAGCCGTTACCTCACACCACCACCAGAGTTTTGCAGTGGAACTTACATCAACAGGACTGTTTGCAGTGGCTAGTCCCAGCCAAAATACTAAATAAGATTCACAATTATTCAGTTTGAGGTGGTAGAACATATCAGATGGGCGGGATATAAATCGAACAAATAAATAAAAATAAATAAATATAATGATCTTACCTCTTTTCTTTTTCAGACCAACCCAACTGTTTTCCATAGACTGAAACTTCACAGTGAAGTTCCTTGGCTAGGCTTTGAATTTCAGGTTGCAAGTTTTCCAACTAGCTGAAAAGACACCAGAAGCCTTGATTATAAAATCAAATCAAATATTCTTTCTTCATGCACAGTCCCTAAAGAGTAAGACAGCTCTTAGCTTTACCGTAGTCCACTGCAGTATGGATAGTTTGAATTCCAGGAAGAATGCAGACTGTGCTTTTTAGTAATCTACAATAAATGCTAGAGAAATACAATTTGTTTGTCTTTTGTGGTTCTTTGAACGGCACAAGAATCTACAGCATGTACAATATGGGGTCTATACAGAAGAGGTAGATGACATTAATGTGTCAAGAGGTGTGAGGAATGGTCCAGAAGATGACAAACATACAAATGAAGCTGTGCCTACCACTAACTTTTGTTTGCAAACAGGAAAAAAAAGGAGAGGGAAGAAGACAATTAAACGCAGGGTGGATAAAGATCAATTTTTAAAAAATCAAACTGGTTTAAGTAATAATTTAAGTCAAAAAGTGATTTTTTTAATTTCAATCGTCAAGAAAGAATCCATTTTTTAAAAATTTCAATCAAATCCACCCTGGTTACATGCACAAAATAATCCAAGCTAAGAGGATGTCAATCTTGTTCAAATATTAAATGCAGCTGAACTCCCCCATTTCACATTGCCTCTGCTGTATGTGCATCTACTACAGTATTTTGTAAACCATTTCCCTTTAGATAGTGGCCTCTAGCCTATGAAGCCTTTACTTTTCATTCTCAGTTCTTCAGAAATGTTTCTACAGAGCTCTGAGAACATTTCATTATTTGCAAGGCAGCAGTCCTTATGTATAATCTCTATAAGGTTACTTTAAGTATCATACTGCAGCTTGTCATAGCAATAGAAATTTATCATAATTAAGAAACTTCCTGCAACAGAATATATGTACTGGCCAATTTATGTTGTACAAGCAAGGAAAACAATAGAGTGCTTGCATAAGGGCGGGCTTAATAACTTCGTGCTGCTGACCTCGGTTTTAACTGATACAGTACAGTATTTAGTTAGCGTTATCCAAACTGCTCCGTTTCATGCTCTTGGGACTTACGACCAATCAACTAAAATCAACTGTTCTTCTGCAAAGCCTGTGCATGCCAGCAATAAAATAAGAAAAAAATAAAAATTTAAAATCCTTTTTCTTTTACGGGCCAGCCTCTTTCCTCCTGGTTTTCCAGGATCCGTTCCTCGCTCAGACCCGTCCTGCGTCCTGCCTCCTTCCCGGACCCACCTTGGCGAGCACACGATACTGCAGGACGGCGAGCGGGAGGGTGAGTACGGAGGAGGCTCTCGGCCAATGCCCAGAGGGACCCGTCCTGCGTCCTGCCTCCTTGCCGGACCCACCTTGGCGAGCACACGGTACTGCAGGACGGCGAGCGGGAGGGTGAGGCCGGTGCGGAGAACAGCGCTGGTCGCGACCAGGGCGGCCCACCAGGGCAGCCCCGACGCCGCCTGCAGCGTCACTATGCCCGACTCCACAAACACCACGGGCGCGGACGAGGCCAAAGACTCAACCCCACCCCAGAAAGGCTGAGCAGCTCCTCCTCCTCCGCCGCCGCCTTGGAGGGGCGCGGGCGTCGCAAGCGTGCGGACTCCGCCGCCACGGCACAGGAGGCGGAAGCGGGACAGAGCCCGCCACTCGCGCACAGCCGAAGCCACGGCCAAAGAGCCGGCGAAAGTGCCGGCTGCCATCTTGCTCACGGCGACGCGCATGCGCCCACCCCCACTTCCCATCACGCGCCCTTCTAAGCTCCGCCCACTGGCCAATCGAGCCGGAGAGGCTCTGTTTCTGGGAGCGAAAGCGGGGGGCGTGGCGGCTGTGGGGCTCGCGGTCGCCTCCGACTTTGCCTCTCATTTGCGCCTACGCTCTTCCCTTCCAGTTTTCCTAGCATTATTTTTTCAGAGTCTCGCCTTCTTTTGAGGCTTGTAGCTTCAATTTTGCCATTTTTGCGTCAGGAAAGAAACTGGGTTCATTCTAATTGGAACTAAAATTAGGCCTTAATTTATTTATTTGATTTATATCCCGCCCATCTGGTCTATTCGATGCTAACATTCCGTTTTTACTTTCAGGGAAGACCAGAGGTATGGGTGGAATTTCTGCCTGAGATACCAAAGTAATTTGACCTGCTGGGGGTATTATAAACCTGACTTTGAGGAATGGAGCCTTATTTTTCCCACTGCCAACAAAACATCCCAAATCAAAAACTATTTTGTTTCAGGGATTTTAGATTGCAAATCTAGCATAACTATCGATGCAAATGGGCCATATTTGGATTGTATTGGGTTGTATTGAAGCTTAAAGTCTCAAACTGTTGATTTTCTTTAATGAGAGAAGTAGAATGGGATGTGCATCTCTGAGATTAATCTGTGCGTTAATGGCAGTTTTTTTGGTTTTTTGAAACCAAAATCACTCTCTTGCTTTGGGATTTCCTTGTCATTTGGAAAAGTGCATAGGCAAAACCCACAAGAAAAAAAACTTTCTAACACAGGCTTCACTTTTGGAGAGAGAAAAACAGTGATTTAAAAAAAAATCTCAACAGGATTTCAGAATTGCAGTTCTGATACAGTCAGGCATTTTTCATATTGCCACTTGGGAGCTGTGGGTGAGGCTTGTGGGATGAGGTTCCCTCAAACCACTAAGTAGTCCAGTGTTATTTTGCACCTACTGTGGCAGGCAGGCAGGCAGATATGAGAAAAAGAGTATTAGTGATAACCCTGCTTCCCTCCAGGTCATGGAGGGACAGTTTTCCATCCTTATCTTACCCAGTTGCTCAATTTTTTCCCCAAGGGAGTTTTAGTCTTCAGCCAGTCAGAAACACAGATGAGGGGGAATGAAAAGTTCCATTGGAGACTACAGTACAGCAACTGAGTGGTAGATGCTTAGAGATTTGATCCCTGTAAACTGATAACTGTATTTTGTATGGCCAGTTGGTAGAGGTGGTGCAACCATAGGGGATTGTGAATAGGACTCTGGCATGCCTTCTTGTGAGTCCTCAGAAAAGAATCAACATCTTCATAAAGAGCACAGCAGAAAAATACATGACACCAGAAAAAGAAGAGTGAAAAGCTATCAAAAGTTGTTCAGTGATTTTGCATGTCAAGATTATCAGTCTTGGGGGTTGCTTAATAGTAGGTTAGGATAATCTGTGTGCACAGCAGTACAAGACAGTGCATTTAGAAATTTTTTTTGGGGGGGGAGTGCCTCGTTCTCCTTCAACACCTGTGGAGTATGATGACCTACCTGCTTGGCTTCTAAATCCCGTCGTCATCATAGTTGCCCTGTCCCCCTCCAGCAAACCTAAAACTATTATGAAGGCAGGAGATCCCGGACAGCTTCTCTAAAGAGCTGAGATGTTATTAGTTTTCAGAATGCTGGGAGGGAAGGGGCCTGGCACAGTTCCACTGGCAGCACATTCCACAATGTATTGGCCACCACTGAGAGGGCCCTGTTCCTGGTCATAGATTTACAGGCCTCCCTTGGGGTGGCCACCCGCAGCAGCCAAAGCTTGTGAAGAGTGGGTGGTACAGGTAGAGATGCTCTGACAACTAATGAGGTCCCAAACAGGGCTTTATATGTCAACATAAATACCTTGAATTTGGCACAATTTGATCACATATTTAGGAATATGTACAAAAAGCAAATAGCCTTATCCCGGCAACATCATGATGTAAGAGTCTGTTGTAAGGTTTTCTGGTCTTGCCAAGTCTTTGAAAACAACTATTTATTTATTTATTTATTTA